GGCAAATCTACGCTCCTACTTGCACGCTGCAGTACCAGCTCCGTTGACGGACGACGGAGTAGCGGTTGTCAATCTCCGCTCCTATCTTGCGAAGATTGACCGCGAGTACTCCACCCGAAGGTACGTTGAGACCGACGCTCCTTTGCTCTATATCCGCATTCAAATCTGAAAGGCCACCTGCAGTGGCTTGATTGATTGCGGAGCGTCTCGCAACTTTGTGAGTCAAGCCTTTATGGCATGTGCAGGCCTAGGCCCCCGCATTCGAAGGAAGACGCAACCTACGCAAGTCACTCTTGCGGACGGCTGCACGCAAAATTCAATCGACCGATGCGTTGACGGCGTCCCGGTGTACTTTGCCCCCCTTGCGTGCGAGCCAGTGTCTTTTGACATCCTTGACACCAAGTTCAATATGATTCTAGGCATGTCTTGGTTGCGTAGCGCCGATCATCCGGTAAACTTTCATGACCGAACCGTTCACATCCGCAATCGGAACGGAATGTTAGTCTTGTGTACGATCGCGACTCCTCACACTTCGATTGCTTGTCACGTGGTTCCCGTCGCGAGGATTCGGGACGCCATAGCTTGGAATGACGTAGAGGAGATGGGAGTTGTTTTCCTACATGCCCTCCCCTCGACGGACGGACCAGCCGCGTCGCCGTCGGACCCACGCATTACTCACCTCTTAGATGGATATGGAGACGTCTTCGAGGCTCCCATCGGAACGGTTCCGGATCGGCCCATACGTCACGGGATTACTCTCGAGGCGGGTGTCGTCCCTCTGCATGGATGCATTTACTGCATGAGCGAAGAGGAACTCGAGGTGCTTCGCGCACAACTCGACGACCTTGGGTTACCACCAGATCGAAATCCAGCCTCAAGACCSGTAAAAGACCGCCTTCAAAACGCGGTATGGGCATTTTGAGTGGGTCGTGATGCCATTTGGACTCACCAATGCCTCGACAACCTTCCAAGCAGCCATGACAACGGGGTTCCGAGACTTGCTCGATCGTACCGTCCTCATCTACATCGATGATATCTTGGTTTATAGCCGGACGCTTGACGAGCACCTCGTACACCTTCGTGCAGTATTGGATCGTTTGCGAGCAGCCAATTACAAAGCAAACTGCGACAAGTGCGAATTTGTCAAACAAGAGCACGAGTACTTAGGCCATTATGTGACGCGGAAAGGCATTCGTCCCTTAGTGGACAAGATGCAAGCCATCATGGATTGGCCGGAACCCCGTTGCACGACGGACGTACGCTCTTTCATGGGTCTRGCTGTCTACTATCAGCGCTTCGTCGAGTCTTACTCCAAAGTGGCAGCCCCTTTGTCGAGACTTCAGTCCCCGAAGGTACCATTTGAGTTCGACGATGCAGCTCGTGKCGCGTTCCATATGTTGAAGGCGGTGATGCAAGACGCACCGGCCCTCCGTATTTATGACCCCACCCTACCCACCCAAGTGACTACGGACGCTTCGGGATACGGTATTGGTGCGGTATTAGAACAATGCCACTCGGACGGTTGGCACCCGGTTGAGTACTTCTCCCAAAAGGTGCCTCTCGCGAACACCCTCGACGATGCTAGGAAGAAAGAGCTACTCGCGTTCGTCACCGTTCTCAAACGGTGGCGCCACTTTCTTCTCGGTCGTCGACACGGATAACAATCCGTTGACCTACTACAAAATGCAAGACATAGTCACTAGCACGATCGGTCGATGGATGTATTACATTGACCAGTTCGACTTCGACCCATGTGACATTCCCGGTCCCGCCAACCGAGCAGTGGACGCCCTCTCACGACGGCCCGGTTTCTGTGCCCTTATGACTGCGACGGTCCAACTCGACGACGATTTGCAGAAGCACTCCGTCAACGGCTACAAGTTTGACCCGACATACTCCGCGCTCTACGTGGAGCTTTCGTCGGATCACCCGCCGGCTGGTCACTATCGTATCTCCAACGGGTTCCTACTCCTTCGCACAAGAGGAAAGGGCTTGTTAGTGGTGCCGCAAGATCGCATCCTACGGACTCGCCTTCTCGGCGAATTCCACAACGCACGACTTTCGGCACACCTTGGCGTGACCTGCACATTGGCCCGCCTCCGCCAGCGTTGTCACTGGCCCGACGTTCTTCATGACGTCACGAGGTACATTGAGTCATGCGCAGTTTGCCATCGTTACAAAGGTAGATCTTAGGTGCCTTGTGGCGAACTAAAAAACGATGCCAATCCCTCGAGCTCCGCGCCTCTCCATTGCTATGGATGTTACAGGCCCGTTTCCCCGCGATCGCCTTGGTCATGACGGCATCCTCACGGTCATGGATCGTTTGAGCAAGTATGCTCGTTTACTTCCATGCAAGTACCGTGCTACAGCCCCCGAGCTCGCACGACTCTTGCACACCGGCTGGATTACCTGCCACGGTGTTCCGGAAGACATTTGTGATCGACAGAGACACTCGCTTCATGTCAGCCTTTTGGACATTGATGGAGTCTGGTTCGACTATGAAGCCGTGTTCCGCACGGCACCCGCAGACGGATGGACAGTCGGAACGAGCGCATCAGACCGCTCAAATGATATTACGTACACTCATCCATCCCGACCAGAAAGATTGGGTTGACCGGCTTCCCGACATCGAGTTTGCCTATAACACTTCGGTGCACCCGACAATCTGCATCACTCCATTCGAGTTGCATCACGGTGGAGAGAAAGCCCGAGTCTTTGCTGATCTTCTTTTGTCACGGGCCACCGACATCGACGTCGCTTGCTCTCCCGCTTCCGTTCGGAAGTACTGGGACTTGCTGATCAAAGCCCGAGCGAGCATGCAAAAGGCTCAAATCCGCATGCAGCAGCAAGCCAACCGACGTCGACTCCCATGTCCTTTCCGTGAGGGAGACCTTGTTTGGGTCCTCGCTGAGGAATTYGCGCTGGAGCAAGACGTCTCACGCAAACGTCTCCCGAAATGGTTTGGACCAKGGAAGGTAATTTCTGCAGCAGGCGATGACCCTGCTGGCCCTTCCTTTGTGATTGCCATCCCACCGCACCTCGGCATGCACCCGGTCTTCCATGCGTCGAMGCGGACCGTGTACACGCCTTCTTCTGAGGACGAGTTTCCGGGCCGACGATCACAGGATCCACTCTCTATGGACGGASATCAGGAAGTTGACCGTGTCATCGCTCATCGCAAGTATGGCAACAAGCCAATGCAATACCAAGTCACATTCAAGCACGCTGGATCTCCCGCGCAGATTTACAGGCATCTGCACCACTCAGTCCAACTACAATGACCGGCGACTCACCAAGGACAAAGTTCGTCCCACCCGACCCACCCAGGTATCGGACAGACAAATTCGCCCTCGCAGGTAGCTCGGTCTTTTAAGGGGGGGAGTGTGTTACATACTGATGCCACACGGGTCCCTTTCGGACCGACCGCTAGTTTAAGGGGTACTTAGGCCAGCCCAGCCAAAGGCCGAACTCTTCTCCCGGCAGGCCCCATTGAGGCCACCGGTTGGTTTCCTGCAGCAGACCAGGTCTAGGCCCAAACGACATTACCGTTGGGCCTGGCGGCGCTCTTGAGGCTGCCGCTCGCTGGTCTGATCTGAATCGTCAATCTTGACGACTCAGATCACGGCGCGCTGGGCAGCATTGAGGCCGACCGGCCGCCGGACGGTACTTAGGCGGGTCCAGTGACCTTGCCAGCATCTTGGAGCAGCGGCATTGAGGAGCGACCGCGCTGTGCTATTCTGGGCTCAGCGCAGCGCTGGGAACTGCAGCGCTAAGTTTAGCGCACTGCAGCACGGAAGAGCGAGGAGGGAGACTTACCTGACAGCAGCCACGAGCGCCATAGCTCCCAGAAGCACAGCCGTCTCCCACAGCAGCCAACGCGCCACCTTGTCCCATCAGGTAGGGCCTGGCGCTACTCACCATCTCCGCCCATGCTCTGCCCCTCTCTTCTTCTTCTTCTTCTTCAGACTTCTCCTTCTTCTTCCTCAGACTTCTTCTTCTTCTTCTTCTTCTTCTTCTTCTTCTTCTTCTTCTTCTTCTTCTTCTTCTTCTTCTCCTCCTCCTCCTCCTTCTCCTCCTCCTCCTTCTCCTTCTTCTCCTCCTCCTCTTCTTCTCCTTCTTCTTTCTTCTTTCTTCTTTCTCTTCTTCTTCTTCTTCTTCTTCTTCTTCTTCTTCTTCAGACTGGAGACTTTGAAACGAGTTGGGCAGAGATCAGTGATTGGACATCGGTGGTAGGAGGCTGTGATACTTACCGGATTCGAGACATTGGAGATATACCAGGCGGCATCACAGATCGGACACCGGTTACATTAGGATTCTGTACCTCCGACATTGGTGACTTATGTCCATGACATTCTGATTTTGTTCGGTGACATTTTGGACTACCATATCGGTGACCTTCTGGATTCTATCTCGGTGACATCTGGCGCTGCCTATACCTCCCACCTCCATCGTCTCTCCTCCCACCATTCGTCTGTGACTGATTGTACGGGGCCTGAAGTATCGTTTATGTATGGTCTTCAGACACCCTCCATCTCACGATTGCTTATGTGTTGAGTGATGTTTGGGTGAGTGTAGTCTCTGTGAGTCAGTCCATTTCTCAGACTTCTGCTGTATACATGCTCATCCTATATTGGTTGATCTTTGGTTCTGCCCATACTTGGTGAAGTATTCACTAGTATGCAACAAGAGGCCTACGATTGGGCTGAACTCTTATTGTTATTTCTTGTTTTCAATGGAAGAGTGATGGGAGAATGGTTTTCTTCATCGAGAAACTCCACATTGTAAACCTTTCCATTCCCTGTGTGATCATAGCTTCATTGTTTGTGCATGTTACCTAATTTTCGAGTCAATGCTTGCCAACGAGAAACTGAGGGGCATGTAGTTTGGTGACTCTTCTCCACGGTCAATGCTTCCTTCTATTTAGTTTTAGGTGTTTGGTTTGTGCCAATCTGGAAAATTATCCAATCTGAAGTAATGGAGCTACTACTTGGATTTTGCAGCTTTGCGGCAAGTGAGCGGCAATGGGTTGAAGGGCAAGTGGAGCGAGCAAAGCAGCGGGCAATCCTTGCGACTGCCAGATCTCAGGCTGCTGCTGACCAGGCACATGTTCATCAGGACATGCAATCCCTCAGGTCTGTGTAATAAGGGATGTATAGTCCTGTCCTGGGATATCCTATGTGTTGTTTGGGCTTTTCTTTTTTACCGATCTTTACTGGTTGAGTTGCAGAATTTGTATTCTTGCATCCCCTGCTTGTGTAGTACTGTGTTCTCTCATGTGGTCATATGCCTATGTGAATGCATGTGTGAAAAGCCACCTATGTGGATTGATGGTTGCTTCTACCATCAACCCTTTTCTGGCAAGGTCTGATGTGTGACACAATAAAGGCCATACTTTCAGATGGAATTATTTGAGAAATCATGTGAAACAGTGAAAGGATTTCACACTGTCAATTCCGGGTCCCGGTCCCAGAGTCCCAGGTGGTTGCGTTGCCAGTATGTCCCAGTAGGTTGAGTCCAGGGTCCGTAGGTCGAAAGGTCTTAGGCCGGTAGAAGTCGGGTACTGAAGCATCACAGGCCGTTAATTGTCTGCAAGTCTGGACAAGGAAAGTCAAGTCCCAAAGTCCAACTTTACAGCAGCGTCCCAAGGTCGACGGGGTACACTGCAGCAGAGAGGCAGACACGACCAGTATCGGTCGCAAGGGAGGCTGTGGGCAAAGTCCTGCAGGGATTTTTAGCTTCTACAGTGCAATGGATTTCAGGTCTTCAATCTGTGAGGTGCGGAAGTGATGCAGGTTGCTTGTGCGGTGTACGACTTGGGAGATGTGCGCTTCGTGAGGAAGACGAGCACTTGAGCGAAGATATAGCTAGGGTTGAGCTAGTAGGGGTGGCGGCCATAGCCGCCGAGGTCCGGGGAGTGAGGTGCAGGTGTATTCAGGGTAGATCGTAGGCTAGTCTAGGGAGAGAGTAGATAGGGCTGTGTGATAAAGTTCAGAGAGAAGACCATAGAGAAAGGGAGAGTGCGAGACACAAGAGGGGGAAGGGAAGCAGTTACATACCTGATTCGTGTTGCGTGGTGAGGCAGCACAAACCGCCTGAGTCATTGAACAATCTCTTTGTGCAATATAATAATCTGGTGTGGAATTTTGAGTGCTGTTCGGATCTCGTGTCTCGGTTGCAAGTGTGATCTCTCACATGAGTGTTTGCTGCACATGTGTGGGTGTTTGGTGTGAATTTGGAGGTGGATCATTGCACATGTGCAAAGTCCGAGCCAACTCTTTAACTGCATGGACTTTGCAGTACTGCCTCAGGGCTACTTTCCAAATGCATGGAATGTAAAATGATGCTGCCCTGCTCAACTCGAGGGAAATAAAGGGGAAGATGTGTGTTGTGTGTGTGTGTGTGTGTGTGTGTGTGTGTGTGTGTGTGTGTGTGTGTGTGTGAGTGAGAGAGAGAGAGAGAGAGAGAGAGAGAGAGAGAGAGAGAGAGAGAGAGAGAGAGACCTTAGTAACTCATGCATGCAATTGCTTACTCATGCACATGCTCAGTCATTCGCTCATGATACACATTGCGTGAAGCTGTAATGCGCAAATTTTGTGTTTTTCATGTTCCACTTTGTATAAAAGGGTTGTGGGGTGTCGGGGATATGACTCAGGGGGGAAGTTCGGCATGAGGCTTCACGAGCCGGGTACAGCCAACCTGTCGGCACAGCAGACCCACTCACCCACTCAGGAATC